AGTGCTGCAGAAAGACGACATGAGAGAGTCTTTGAGCAGTTAGCCGTGGACGCGGCCGACTCGCCAACCCATCTAGGAAGGTACAGGCAGCAACAGTGGTCAACAGAAGAGGCAGCCTTTGTCCCGACCGGGGATGAACCAGACAACGGAGAGCAGGGGCCGGTGGATTGTGAGGCAGAAAAGCGCGCTGTGGAAGAGCTCTACGCAGACATAGGCATTCCTATACAAGGCGACTATTGTTCAGCACCAGGGATCACGTGTCAAGGATGCTTTGTGGTTGAAATCAACCTGCGTGATAGGAAGGATGTCAACGGCACAGTTCAACGCTTCCCCGACTTCAAAAAGTTGGTAACCCTTGACATTTCTTCCACGCATTTGTCTGGAAGTATCGCAGCCTTTGCATCATTGACGCTACTTGAAGACTTGGACTTTGCTCACACTGCCTTTACAGGCAACATCAGTGAACTGAAAGGGTTGTCCAATCTGCAGAAGCTTCGCACCACAAGTGCGCAAATTTCTGGAGAGATCCAAGTTCTTCGGGATCTTACCAACTTGAGGACTCTTGATTTATCATCAACGCAGGTTCGGGGAGACATTCGCGGCATCAGATCACTGATAAAGATGCAAGCTTTGAACCTCCAAGGGACTGCGGTGTATGGCGACATTGGGAATCTTGAGGCAATGCAGGATTTGGAAAACGTAGAATTTTGGGGCATGGAGCAAATATGGGGAGACATCTCGGTCTTCAAGTTCACGCCGCAATTGAAAGTACTCAGGCTTGATGCAACTTCTGTCACTGGGGACATTCAAGCTTTTGCGGTTGCAACGAAGCTAGAAAGGCTCGGCCTTGGAGTGACTCAAGTACACGGTGATGTTGCGGCGTTTGAGGCAGCCAACCCTCCAATTCTTGAAATATACCTCGACTTCACGCAGGTTGAGGGGGACGTTCAGGCTTTCGCCCGTTTGCACACTTTGGAAGCGCTTGGGTTGGCGCTCACAGGCGTTTTCGGCAGCATCAGCGCGTTTGCTTCAGCCACCGACATGATTCATCTTGGACTTGCTCGCTCCAAAGTATACGGAGACATTGCCATGTTGCAGGGCATGAAAAACTTGCATGTGGCGTCAATGTCCCACACGAAGGTATCCGGAAACATCGCAGTATTCCGCTCCAACATGCAGCTGCGCCACGTTTCCTTTGAGTCGACGGCAATATCCGGAGACATTCAAGTTTTCAATTCGACTAAGCACGTTGAGTTCATTAATTTTGCGCAGACTGCAGTCGCTGGAGACATCGTCGTTTTCTCGGCAACTCCCATGCTCAAGCTACTGCGGCTCTCATCGAAAAAAGGTAGCCGCAGCTCAGTCCGGGGCAACATCAAGGTTTTCCAGAACAGCGCGCCGCGGTTGGAAGAAATTCGTTTGGCATCCACCGGTGTGTCCGGAAACTTGAAGGACCTACGCCTGGAACACTTAAAAAAGCTGGACATGTTCTCGACCGGTGTGCAAGGTGATATTGGCTCTCTGTTTGTTGGCGATGCGTTATCTCGCATTTATTTGGGGTCCACAGGCATAGACGGCAACATTGACAATATCATGACTTGGAAGGCGGCTGAGGTTATTGATCTTTCAAAGACGCATGTTCATGGCAAGCTCACGAAGACGTGGAGGGGATGCTGCCGGAAACTGCGTAAATTGCGGTTGTCACGAAGCAACGTGAGTTGGCTGCCGCAAGACTCAGACAGAGCCGAGCTTCTGACTTTGTGTCTCGTCTTTACAGTGGTTTACTTTGATTGTTTGCAATTGCCTCATGCATGTCTTGTTGGGTTCCTCTACTATGCCCCCTGCACTGCCTGCCCAGTTTTCTACCTTTATTCGGCTAATTGAGGAATCTCTTGGGTTACTTGAAGCTCGCGAGGGTGCTAACTATGGCAAATCAAGGGGCAATGCTGGGAGGGCCCTAGACGCACGCACCCGGTGAGAACATGAAAGTGATGAAACTAGCAAGATTTTCACATCATTCCTAAAACAAGTTGTCAAGGCGATGGTGAGGAGCTGTTGGCCAACAACTCTTGTCACACCAAGCGCATGCTCTTACAGTCGTCGATTATAGTTAACGTGTGCAAGGATGATTGTCATACAGTTTAAGTTCAGTCACTATCATGGACGGACATGCTGACGGGCTTACTGTGAAGTTCGTAACGTTCTCATGGTATGTCGGAAATCCGCAGAAGAGAGAAATGCCCAGGTGGACCACGGAAGAGAAAGCTCTCTTGCCTGCTCTCACAGCTCTGGACGTGTCAAGACACTTGGGACAAGTATTCTTTGCTGATGTGCCGCTTTTATGTGAGCATTTCCTTACATATGGGTATGTGCTTGATGTATAAGGTTTCATAGTTACAGCGTCAAGTAGCCACTGGCAACGGGATGTGTAAGACCTGTTGTTGTTGAGTCGTTGTGGGCTTTTCTGGATAGAAATGGAACATCAGCAAGCGACCGAAGAACGGGCCTTCTGTTTGATTTGTGCTAGCAGCTACTGGCAGGTGCTAGTTACTAGCATTGCATGATTCAAGAAACTTTCTCTTGTTTACCACATCCTTCTGGCCTATCATGGGGGAAAGGTCCAAGGGCGTTTGTGCTATGGAGCTACTGCTCGTTAGTGACCCGATAACCGATATAGCCTATCGTGCCTTGCAAGAAGATTTCTGTGTTTGCAACAAGTTAAACGTTGGGGCGGGCGTGGCAATGAGATGCCAGCATGTGTAGCCGGATATAATCAAAAAAATACAGAGATCGCGTCGTGGTTTTGAGCTTGTTGGCATATCTGTCGGAATGGGATGTAAAGGCAAACAACGCAACAAAAGCTTCTTCGGTAAGCGGCCATGCCGTTTGGCACAAAGCGCGTGTGTCACTTTGTCGGGTCCAAAAGTGACAAAGGCTGTCGCAGTTGTGTGATGACCTTGTCGTGAGGCCAAGGATGTCCCCTGGATGGTCCAGTGGAGGATTTGATGCTGCCGCTGGCAGCTTGCAGCATTTCGAGCCTGGTAGCAATACAGAGCGGCTTGTTTGGGCCAGTGCCGTCATTGGACCCCATGCCCCCGGTGAAGCTGAATGGCCAGTACCAATTTGCACTGGTTCCTCCGATTGCGAGGTCTTTGGAAGTTCTGGAGCTCTCGAAAAACAACATCTCGCAGATTCGGATCCCGAAATCTTCCCATGTCCTGACGGTCCGCAAGAACCAAGGTTTGTTGCAGTTTGGACCAAATGTCCTGCGAGATATTTTGGAAGACAAACGTCGTTGGTCAGACTTTAGAATAACAAGGTTCGACACGTCAGAGTTTCGCAGGTTGCTTGGAGAAGGCAAGCTGAAAAAGACTGCGACCAGGTCTTTCCAAGGCCCGAACGCATCGTTCAGATGCTATGATTTGAAAACTGTGTCGTTCGAAATCACACCCCCGCTGATTATGCCAGAATGGTGCCAATGCATGCCAGGATGGTATGGGAAGGCTACACATTGCGTACCGTGCCCGAAAGGAAGGTTCAGTCAAAACCACGATGAGCCAACATGTTCGCGCTGCCCTATGAATAGCACCACCCTCACAGCAGGGGCCAAATCCAGGCAGGACTGCAAGTGCGATGGCGGTGTGCCTATGGTGTATTTGCATGAGAAAATTACTTGCGGCTGCCCCCCGCGCTATGCGGAATATGAAGGCCAATGTTGGAATTGTGCCGAACAGCACTTCGATTGCCCGCGTGGAAACATGCAACTGGCCTTGGCCAGTCCGGAGGAAGGCTTCGCCAGAATTGACGGCAGCCCGAAGTTCGCGATAAAAGTCTTCCAATGCTTGGCTCCAGCCACAAAGCGCTGTCGCGCAGAAGCGGCTTCTGAGCTGGGATGCGCCGCAGGATATACTGGACCCCTTTGCATGGATTGCATGGATGGGTTCCACTCCAGCGGGGGTGTGTGCAAAGCCTGCAGCAAGGACGTCGTGCAATCCGCAGTGGTTCACGTTGTTGTCGCTACGCTAATTTTGGGCAGCTGCTTGGGGATGGCCTTTGCTTTTGTCATGTGGAACGCCAGCTTGAGACAACAGCTGGGGCAGTTTGTTGTGCAATTGCAAGCCTTCTGTTTTGCGCAAGGATATTTGGGCAACGTTCAACAGGCGCTCATGAAAGCCGAACTGCCCATGCTCCTGCAACAAAGCCAGCTGTGGGGCGTCCTTGCTGTTTTATCTCGTGCCCGAGCTGCGGCTGGAAGTGGTATTCCTTGGGAAATTCCTTACGTCCAAAGCTTGCAGTTTGCCATGACCAGTTTGGCTGACTTTGCCTTTTTGCAGTGTTATTTTGGTGGTAGCCAAACCCGTTGGCTGCTGGCACTTGCATCACCAATGCTTCCGCTCACAATATTCTTTGGCTGTTTTGGCCTGGAATATCAGCAGCATGGCTTGGGTATCAATGCTGCGCTCAGAGTCTTGACAATGCTGTTCATTGGCGGGGCCTACAAGTGCTCTGCTTTGAGCATTTGCCAGCATGTGGATGCAAATGGGGAGAAGCTGCACCAGTTTGCTTTTTTGAGGAACCTACCTCAGGTCTATTGCAAGGATCAGGGACCTGAAGCCCGAAAGGTCCAAGCGATTTTTTGGCTGGGTTTCTTTGGGTATGCAATCCTAATACCATTGTTTCTGGCATACCTTTACGCAAGGCAACATCATGTGTTGCGGCATGAGAGGATGCCACTCCAGAGCAGCATGAAGGATGCCAGTACAACAATTTTGGTGTTCAAAGACCTTGTTCTTGCAAGACGCCTCGTTGCAACGGCTGTGGCTTACACATCGTCTTGTGTTTCTGACATGAAGCCTCTAGCGCTTCCTTCAGGGGGATGCAGCATCCAGCTGCGGGTGCTGCTTTCGGATCAGTCAGCCACTTTGATTTCTCAGGGTTCCCAAGGTGACATGCATGGCATGCCGAACGTGAACTTGGGCGTGGCTGATGCGCAGTTTGCCATGACTGAGATGTTGATGGAACATTGCATCCTTGAAGAGAAGGCGGCTGACCGCTTTCTGATGGGTATGAAAGAAATGTTGTGGAAGTACTCGCTTTGCAGGAATGTCTGGATGGAAATTGCACTGAAAGTTGTTTCTGTGATGCTGGTGCAAGTGGTGTCGAACGCGCAGGCCAGGCCAATCCCCACTACATAACATGGCTGACTTTTTATCAGGGGATTCTCGTTTTCATTTGGCTGAGGCCACCTGCCCAATTTGCTCCTAGACGCTAGAATGCCCTGTGTTGTTATCAGCTTGTGCCAGCAGCGAGACGAGAGAGCTCATGGGTCATGAAGATAATCCTTTTCCTATTACTTAGGCCCTTACATAGCACGTCCCGAAACATCCAGAACCGCAGGCCTTTTCCAGCGACATCAACCGCGCCTACAATTTGTGTTTGCTTATCGTCATGGGTATCACACTTGCCACCGCTGTCCTGATTTGGATCATGAAGCCTTATGCGCAACCGCAAGTGAATCAACTCCAAGTCTGCGGTTTTGTCTCTTTGGCAGTTGCAGCTTTGGGCTTTGTGAAGCATAACATATGGCTCAGCAGAATGGCCCTTCTATTACCTTTCTTGGTGACAGGGAGTCAGGCTCTTTGGTGGCCTGACAGCCCTGCCAGCTTGGCTAGCCGCCTTTGGAGGCAGCTGGAGCCAGGGCTTGCCGACTTGAAGAAGGGTGTCACGCAGGAGGTGGGGGTTGCGAATCAAACATGTATTCGATGTGCAGACATTTTTTGCAATGATGTGTCCAACTCATTCATGTTGAATCTCAGGTGGCAGCTTCTTCCTTCTACATAGCGAGCAGAAGTGAATGTGTGGAAATACAGATGCGTGTAGTTTTGGTCCAAGAGCAATGACGACGCCGGATGATGTCCATCTTGCAAATGGCCGCTTTCCATGATAACTCACCTGACTTTTTGGACGCCACAGTTCCAACGCGAGCTGGTTCATAAAGTGCACTGTGCAGTTTGCACCATCCAGCAGCCTTGGGTCGGTCCGAGAGCTGCGAGCAGACCTACTGCAGGGGTTTTAGATAGGAGGGTCTTGGTATATAGTGCCCCTTAAGTAAATAGAATATGGCATTGGGTATATTATAAGAAGATCCCCATATACCTCATATTCTATCTACTAAGTGGGACTATGACTATAACTCCACAACATTCCAAAGACCCAAAACCCTGCGCGAAAAGGCGCCTCCCTTCGGCTCCGCCTCGCCGAGCCCCTTTCGCCGCTGTCCGCCTCAGGGATCCTCGGCGTATTTCAGGGTTTGGCTCCTTCAAAAAGAGGTTTTATAAGGATGTGCATAGGTGCCTTTCAAGGGTTCATGGCGGGGTGTTGAGAGGTTTGGCGTTTTAGGGGTTTCGAGGCTGGGGGTGGGTTGGGGCGTATTCTTTTGGGTTCAGGGTAAGGATGCGGAGTCTAGTATTTGGGGTTCATGGTTGGCGTTGCAAGCCCACCAGGGGATGAGGCATTGGCGAAGGCGAAGGATATCCAAGCACAAGGCGTGTATCTTCCGTGGTTTAGGGACTTACCTTTGCACTGTGTCGTTCAGGGATGTTCAGGATCCACCGATGTGGTTGAGAGTTTGGGGGCACGGGCTAGGCCCAACATTTGAAACCAGGTCTGGGACCAGGCGTGCTTCAAGTGACAGCCTTGAGCAGATAACATCGTAAATCCATGTATATAGCATTGTTCTCATGAAATCTTGACCGAGCACTGAAACATTTCAAAAGCAGTGTAAACCCGGCAAGGCTCTGTATGGCACCCGGCAAAAGACCCAGAACCCAACAATGGTGGTATCCCAAAACAATTGGGCCCAGCAGGTACACGGCAGATGTGCGGAATCTTGAGTAAGGCACCACCAAAAAACATCAATTCGATGGCTTCTTATCACAGCGCATCCCCGCATGCGAATTCCCTGCAAGGATTTAGCCCACCAAGTTCCTCCCATTCCGGGAAGCAATTGTCATACCCTCAATGACTTGTATAGGTTGGGTAATGATGGGTACTGCTCCCACGCAGTAAGAGTCTATATCAAGGCTAGTATTTAGGGCCATGCCTAATCAGTTATGATATTCTTATTCAACTGTTACTGAGTGGGGGCAGGACCTAATGTCTAGGCGTTCCCCACCCTAAACCCTATACCCCAAACCTTTAACCCTTAAATCGCTTAAACCCCTCAACCCTGAACCCTTAAACGCTTAAACCCAGAACCCTTAAGCCGTAAACCCCAAACCACGTACACAGGTCCCTGGCCTTGGCTCTTCGACGCTCACCAGCCGAACCATGGCTTCCGGCCATCGGAGGCTACGTTAAGCCGACAGCTAGGGTTAGAGGTTCAGGATTTTGGATTGAGGCCCCCAAACCATTCCGTGGTGTTTCATAAGGCATGGGGCATGAATGATGGGGATTACTATTTGGGATTATACGGACGATTACCGGGATCCATTCCCCCCCGTCCCTACTGAGCACCAGGAGGACCAGGGTATGCAGGGATGGGTAGGGTTTAAATTGACATCCAAGCCCAAACAGGGGGCGTAACGGTTTGTTTTGGGGTTGGGGATGGTTAATGCTATGAAGTGGTTGTTGCGAGGTGCAAGAGGGATGTTGGCACTACTTCGGTATGGGTCAATTGCGTTTGGGGCTCAGGGCCATCGGAGTCATGCCTTTGGGTTTCAGGGAGTTGGCTGCCGGATTCAAGGTCATTACAACTTTACATACCATCCCCTAACTAGTTGACATGGAGGGCTAAAAGAAGGCAGACTCAGAACACTGCTCTTCTCATGGGGTGTTACAGGGTTGTACATCAGTTTGAGTGAGGGTAGGGATCCTAGATTCGGGATGGTGCAGGTTGCGAAGCATTAGGGGTTGCAGGCTGAAGCTGAAACTGTTTGGCATTGGATTCGCGAGCGATTAAATGAGTAGAAGTTTTCCAGCACGGATTGCTAGTTCAGTCCGCCAGTTTAATAAGCCTTCATGAATCCAAGCTTCTGAAGTCCCCAAGCCCTGTGGTTGCAAACTCGAATACATGATTGCCAACAATTCCCTTTGACCCTGATGATTGGCATCCCAATAGCCCAAAGCAGGTGCCACTTATGAAAGACTCGATGGCCCACAGGAGGTATCATTTGTCGATTTGGATCCTCAGGGACCTCGGTTTTCGGATCTTTCTTCCGCGTGAAAGTTCACGAGGCGTGCCTGGCCACCACAAAGATCGCAACGGCGATCCGCGGCATGGGCTGATGGAGATCATGGCGGGAGAGCAATAATAGCAATAATACTTATAATAACAACAATAACAGAAATAACTATAAAGATCATAGCAAGAATAGCAATAATAGTGAGAACAGTAGTCACAGCAAATCCTATAGCAGCCAGGGATCTAGACTTGGGATTCTTCAAATACATAGATCCGAAATAAGGGCTTAGAGGAGCCCTATAGCTTCAGACTTCTGGATGCAGGGCTGTGGCAGGCTTTAGGACCTTCCCCAAGCCTTACATGCAGGCAGGCCTCTGTAGGAGGAGCCCTGCTGGGGCACCTGTGTATATGCACCAGTTTTGTCGAAGGGAGACTTCATGTGTGCCTCTAATCCATGAGCCACAATTCATTGCGGGGATCCAGTTAGTAATTTAGTTCTTGTTTCCCTGTTAAGGGGGGTTCCTGGTGAATGAAGTGTTCGCTGGATGGTAGTTTCGGGAAACAAGGGGACCCCAATCCAATATACACCCCAAAATACGACATTCCTTATGATGGGGACCCCCCAAAATCGTACCCTTAATGTTGGCTGTGGAAACGTATTGCGTGTCTCGGTTTAACCGGAGGAAACGCGAAAAACACGAAAAACGCGAAAACGCGAAAAAGCGAAAAACGCGAAAACGCGAAAACGCCAAAAACGCGAAAAGTGCGACAAGTGCGAAAAGCGCGAAAAGAGCGAAAAATGCGAAAAGCGGGAACATTGCGAAAAGCGCGAAAAGCGCGAACATCAAAACAATACGCGTAAGTCACGACAAACGCAAGAGCCCTAAACCCTTCGCGTACAGCATGTTATAGCATGTTATAGCATATTGTAGTAGATGACTGTACATTCTGGTACGATGTAGTTTTTCGATTGTATGTAAACACATATTAAAACTTGAAATATATTGAAGCATACTGTAACATAATTATTTGCAATATTGCATACTACAACATACAGAAATCAATGCCAGCATACTATACTAAAATATAGTATGTGATAACACAGTATAGCATATTATAGTTTACTTAGCATGCTAGAAGATGCTTGAATAGGTATTACATTCTAGTACATTCTAGGATATTCTAGCACATTAGAGAATATCGTAACATATGCTAGTATGCCATGATATATTACAGTATATCGCAGCTTATTATATAATAAAATATAATATATCGCAGTAGTCCAGAAGATTATACAGTATACGATAATACATTATGTAAAAATCTGTTCGAATATATTAAAGAATTTTGGAATGTACTAGAATATACAATAGAATATTACCGTGTATTAAAGCATGTTATAGTCTATGATAATATTACAGTATACTATGGCGTACTATGGTAGACTAATATAATATGATAAGAGCAATGCATTATGGAATAGTGTATTATAATATATATCAGCACTATACAGCTGGTTACAGTAAAATAAAACATATCATAATATATTCTAGTCTTACAGCATATTATGGTATATTATAGTATATTGGTATATCACAATTTCTTATGATACATCTAGAACTGTATGGTGTATTGAGGCATGATTATTACGCATATTACGCAGTCTTTG